GCTGCTGTCACTAGCTGACAATAGGCTGTTGTCAAAACAAATCCCATGATGCTTTGTGTGAAGAGCTCTCACAAAGCATTCTGGGATATATCGTCTAATCAAGTAACCAAGGATCACTACTTTTCAGAGTGCATTGTGGGAAATTTTGAGTCCACTACTTTTTCATCCACTAGACCAGAGGTCACGGATTAGCGGACCGCAGTCCGGATCCACCTGCTGGCTAATCTGGACCCAACCTGATTCAAAACATTTATAAATTATCACATGTTGTCCAACAGCAGTGTCTAACTTCACTTTCACTTTCTCCTGTTAATACGGTAAAGCGTCCGGTGGAGCATCCGGCTCCAGGCTGCACGTGATATAAATTAGCCAATGAGCTGCTGTCAGTCTGGGTTGCTGCTGCTGCTACTTTTAGACACAGCAGGCAAACCTGTGGCAAGCCGGGCGATGGGAAAGAAGGAGAAGATGATGAGAAAAAGAGAGCAGAGAAAGTGTGGACTGCTGGAAGAACTGTGGTGAACTGGTGAAAGAAAAGTGAAATGGACCTGTAACACTGACCTGTAACACTGAACACATTTTCCTATAATTATAACCAAGTCCCAAAATCTTGTTTATAGTTAACTTTTTGCAGACTCCAGATTCAGACTGACTGACAAACTGCAGATTTGACTACCTCCCAGAACAGCATTTTATACTCTTATTCATAATTAAAAATGGGGTCAGATGACTTAATTTATTAGAAATACCCATCTTATTTATGATCAGAAATTATGCTCACAAATAACAGAAAATGTTTTTGAATCAGAAATTTGGGACATAAAAACTCTAGGTCTGATCTATTCCTCTAATACACTGCAGACTTCTGACTCTAATCCTTAACACAGAATAAGGCTCGTCAGACATCATAAAGGCTAAACGAGTTAGCACCGACAAAGAATTAATCATTACTTCATCTTGCTAAATTTAGGTTTTATTTCCCTAAATGCTTTTGTCATGTAGAAAAAGATCTTTTTTCTCCAGGATGATTAATTACCTTGAACAAAAGAAAATTATATTTTCATGTAATTTACTGACAATAAAATATAAAAAAAAGCTTAACATTATTTGAATGTATTTGATAATTTACCTTTATGTAGATAGTCAGGAGCTGCTTGGACTCGTGTTCAAAGGCTGATATTGAAGGCAAGCCGTCTGTGAATCTAAACTTAGTTCCTCAACCTTTATATTCCTGTTGAGCAGAAGTCTTTGGCATCCGAGTTATCTGTGCTTCTGAAAACAAAGACATCAACCTGTCCTGTGTCGTTTGAACAGGAATATCCTGTTTGAGCGCCTAGATGGAGTTTACTGGCAATGCATAGAGAAGTGTTAGGAGATGACTCATTCTTATGTCCTGGGGTCAGTTTCACAAAGCAGGTTTACTGAAAACGTTAAAATTTATAAAACATAAATCATGGAAACTGAGTTTTGTGTTTCACATAGTTTGTTTACTTAACCTCTATTTTTGTTACCATAGTAACATTCACCCTGGAGCTAACCTGGTTGGGAGCAGGTTTTGTTCAATAAACTCAGTGTCACTGTGTCTGCCCTGCTTACTGTAGAGCCAATCACGCCGCTTTACTTCCTGATTTAATAGGGAGAGTTCTTAGTTTTGAAGGTGCCTTAGACACATTAGGTATTAAAAATAAAAACCTCCTATTTGATGAGGATGCACATAAATAATGAGCAGCATCAATTCATAGAGTATGAAATATTTGTTGGGAGAGGATTCACCAGACTGTGTATAGACGTCCTTTCATATTCAGGTAATTTTATGAAAGCTACGTTTCAACTACCAGTCCATCACATACATCCACGACCTCATCCATCCTCACATTTACGTCTTTAACAGGTATTTATAAGTAATTAATATCAGTGAAAACATATTGATTTGTGATAACAGCATTATAAAAAAACAACTGCAGTCAGACAGCCACTTATTTGCTATGTAATGGAAGACGGAAATAAAATGAGGAACCCCATAAAATGATGCACAGGTCCTACCTGTTAGCACAAGTTTTTCATGCTTCATCTTCACCTGCTGACAGGTGTGCTTCTCTCCTGTGAGATTTTACCTCAATAGAATACACCGATCGACAACCATTTATTCAGTAACTAGTTTTCTCCTTAATGTTATCGTGATTAGAACCTGCTGGGACCCTTTTTCCACCTGGATCCCCGCTCTTTTTGGCCCTCAAGTCCCTCCGTTGTTGCACAAACTTGCCCTCACTTCCCCACCGCCTCGGCCGCATCTTGACCCACAGCTAGTTCCTGATTGGCCCTCTGGCGTTGTGGCGTGGAATAACATAGCGCAGACCACGCTTCAATATTGGGCATGTATAAAAAAATCTACGACAAGCTGACTGCGACACACTGCTGGGGGAGGAGAACCAGGCCTTTAGACTGCGGGAGGACATAGGGACCCCCTTCTCATCATTCTATCTCTATTCTAGCCTGACGTAGTCCGACTCAATTCTAGTCAGAATATGAGTCTGATGCTGCTCCATA